TCTCTCCCCACCCCGGAAGGCAAACTCGTATCCACCACAAAACGAGGCAACCCACACACACATATACATGCACATGTACACGCGGCACCCTTTTCCCCCCCACACATAAACTGGGAGGCAATCACAGGAAGGGTACCATGCACACACATGCATAAAAGCCATCTTCCTCCCTCGCGATGAGACACACACATACATAAATACACACACATGCACTCCGACACACACACATATACCACGTCAACATGCATGTAACGAACGCACATGCCTCGGCCTCGTGCACCTGCACCACTCCACATTCATCAGCCGCCCTCATGTACACCACCTCCACCTCCACCCCTCCACCTGCTCCACTCCGACCCTCCGCTCGCAGAGACCCCACCTCCTCACCCACGTCGGACAAGAAGACCCAGAAGCCCGTGATGCATCGCGCCAACAGCAGCTCTCTCCCTCTCTCGCTCTCTCTCTCCCTCTCTCTCCCTTCACACGGGAAAACCCCACACCACCAACTCGCCATCCATGCCTCCACATCAACAAGCCACCTGCTGAAGGGCTATCGAGGCGTGAGCCCCCCCCCCCAATTATCACCGGGGTGAAGGGAGTGGGGATTCCTCCGCCTGCAGCAGCAGGAGCCCCCAGGAGGTGTGCGGGAGGGAGGTTTGCGGTGAGCGCAGTGAGCGGAGTCGGGGCTCCCACGCGCTCACACACACACACACACACACACACCACACCCCTACCTCTCCCCCCTTTCCGGACTCAGGCCCCGACTCCCTCTCTCTCCACCTTTCCCGTCCTATCCATGTGGGGACAGTAATAACAATACACAATAACAGTACACAGTAGCATTGAAGGCGACAGTCTGAAGCATTTATTCGCATTATTACTGCCCCTTAAAAAGCCCGCGATGCAAGCCTCTACCGGAGGTGGGCTGCCTCTGGCCGACTGTCAGTCTGTCAGTCTGCCTGTTTATGTACTTGTCTGCTGCCCGTCGTCCAAGAAAAAAAGCTCAGGTCAGACCAGGCTAGCTACGTCTGATCATACCAGACTAGACCAGGCGCCCATTCAGTCCATTTAGTCAATCTAGATCAGGTCAGGTAGTCAGGTGGTGTCGGAAGGGGCCCCGTCAGGGCTTTGGGGTCATCCGGGGCCACCGCAAGCAGTGGTCAACAATACCAATGTTCTGTCTGTCCTGGAGGCCGGGCCGGACGCGAATTCACTCGCGCCGTCGGGCGAATACGGCAACGCATAATACAAATACAAAGTGCGATAAGACACACAACTCAAGACATGAATGCGGCCTCGAGTAGCTAAGTAGGTAGGTACGGGGGTAGGTAGGGGTATGTCCGCACCTTTAGGGTGACACCAATCGCCCAGGGTTGGGGGGGAGAGCTGGGGGGGGAGAGCTGTCATGGCACACAGTAATAGACAACAATCAGGAGCTCATCCCCCCGGGAGCACCTCGCGCATCAGGAGCTTCAACCCCCCAGCAATCCGACCCCCTGCCTGTCCAATATATAAAGTAGCCATGCATACATACATACATATATACATACATGGTAATGGATACCGAGAGAGAAGCGCAATGCTCGCACAAACATGTTCTTGACAATACATGTGATTTGCTGTTCGCAAGATCTGTCCGACACGATGAGATTCCGGTGGAGTGGAAGAAAGCCGACAGAAGCAGCAGCACCAGCAGCAGGAGTAGCAGCAGCAGACAACATGAGCGCCGCTGTTCCCCCCTGGGGCCCCCCCTCCTCCCCCTTCTCCCCCTTCTCCCCCCTTCTCCCCCTCCCCCCCTTCTCCCCCTTCCCCCCTCCTCCCCCTCCACTCCTCCTTTCCCCCCCAGTCACACACCCTTCCTGAGGTCCCTCAGATCCTTCGAGGGGCCCTGGAACGAAAGTAAGCTCAACCACAACGACAACAACAACAACGACAACAACGACAACAACGACACCACACCGCAACTAACCACCTCCACTAGCTGCAGTGCAGACGCACCTCCTCCTCGTCGCCCCGAACTGTTTCACATTTACCCCCTGAAATGACTTACATGCATATGCATACTTATACATACATACATCACTACTTACACAAACACACACACATCCCCCTGAATTACACATGCACACACGTTTGCTTTGTCGCGGCCGATGCCCCCTCCGCCAAACACCGCCACACACGCACACACGTACACACGCACACGCTTCTCCTACACGCGTCCTGACATGCGCAACGACGCCCTTTCCAGCACGTACATACATGCATACATGCATACAAACATACATACATAGATACAGCTCCAGGCACAGCACCAACATGCTAAGGCGCGGCATAGTGTGTCCCTGGCAGGATCTTTCGAAGGTTCCAGGATCAATCCCGACAAAGATCAGGATTACACACTATAATACCCACCATCCAGGCCCCTCAGAGGGGAATCCAGCGCCGCTGTTTCCCTCAGAGCCCCGCGCAGCCTCCGGGCCACTATCGTTTATGAGCAACCGCACGGGGGAGCAAACCACTTCCCCCTTCAGGTTAGGTTTATTCACGGGGTAAACACCAAACCACGAAGCCGGGGCGCCGGAGCGCCTGGAACCATGGAGGGCGCGGCTGCAGTCTTGCCGCACCTCCCGAAGAGAAGCATGCTAGTGTGTGTGCGTGTGGGGGGGGTTACGTATGTTTCAGGGGGACGGGTACGGGTACGGTGCGGGTACGGTGCGGGTACGGTGCGGGTACGGTGCGGGTACGGTGCGGGTGCGGGTGGAGGGTTAAGACAACCGGAGTGCAAAGGGAACTCAGTGATGGCCCGAGGGACTGCTTGAACGCCAGCGGGGCCACCTTCCCTCCTCCTCCTCCTCCTCCTCCTCCTCCCCCTTCACCCCCTCCCTCAAAAGGGGGTGAGGACAGCTGTGTCCTCCAGGCACCTCTTCATGGGACCCGCTCCGACATGGGGCAGTCGCCATCGTCATCCCGTACGGCAGGGTCAGGATTCCGAACGTGGTCTTGATCCAAACGATCAACCTGCCGGACGTGAGGCGGCGCGGAGGGGGCCGGGGCCGGGTGAGGGAGGGGTAACATGAAGCGCCACGGACGAGTGAAGCAGATACCAGAGATATATACGGATACTCCGCGCAGGATTAGGAGCCGTAGACAGTGATTTTTTTCATTTAGGGCGGGTCTCATTTTATTCCGACCTAAGTAACAAAATTGCTAGGGTTGCCGTAATTTATTCCGTAAGTGTGGGGCGCTGGGGGGGACTACGCCCCCCCCAGATCCCCCCCCGATAAGTTACAACTCCCCTCATAGACCAAGAGGCACGCACTGAGTTGGCGCGTTTTCGTTCATGTGCGCACTCTTCATGCACATGCGTAGATAGTTCTATGGCTATGTGAGGACCGGTCATACATTCTGCTATGCCGCGTTGACTCACAGGCTTGACCTTCTTACGGCCCCTCATATCTATTCTATGATCGATAATACTAAGTTCTGCACACTACGGAGCAATCTGGCAGCAATGGACGTTTTTGGCTGGAGGAATGAAAATGTACGGATCGGCCTCAATTCATTCCGTTTTTCCAAAGGCCAAAATGGCCTCTTTATTCCTTATAAGGAATATATTACTTAAAAAAACTGACCGTAGAGGTGGGTGGGGCGACAGCGCCGGCACGGAAGGGGAGGGGGGAAATCGTAGCATAGCTCAATACCGCAGAGACGAGGGAGGCCGAGGGGGCCGAGCTGCTGCAGGGTGAGGGGGCCAGGTGCCCCAAATCAGGCAACATCTCCTTTCCTTTGCGACCCATTGCGGTAAAAGCTTTCAAAGGAGGGCGTGTCTTAAATAAGCAACGGTCTGACGGTGACGGCCGGGGAGTTGGCCCGTGACCGTCAGGCCCCCCCCCCGCACGTACCTCGTCGCGAATGAGAAGCGCCTCTGCTTGCGACTTCTCCTTGGGACTGATCGCCATGTCCGCACCACCAGTACCACCACCACCGCCGCCATGGCCCTGCTGCTCCCTTAACGACGACGCCGCTGCCGCCGCCGCCGCCGCCGCCGCCACCGCTGCCTCATGCGCCGCCGCCGCCGCTGTCGCCGCCGCCGCATCGCTTATCTGCACCTCCAGGGGAAGTAGAGAGCCGAAGGAACCGCCACTGTCGCCGCTGCCCTGCCCTTCAACCGAGCCGCCGCCGCCGCCGCCGTCGCCGTCGCAGGTACCCCCGTTCCCTGTTTCCGCCGCTGCTACTGCCGTCGCCTGAGAGAAGGGCTCCACATCGGTGGGGACCCCGGGGGACGTGTCCGCAACCGCACTGGCGGCAGGGAGCGCTTTTGAGGGCGCCTCGCCTTCCACAGATTTGAGCTGTAGCAGCTGTAGCTGCTGCTGCTGCCGCTGCTGCTCCTCCTCCTCCGCCAGCTAGGTGTGGGCGTGGAGCATTGCGGGCGGGGGTGAGGAAGAGGAAGAGGAGGAGGAGGAGAGGAAGGTGGGGTAAGGTGCGTATAGTGGGGAGCGGGCGGTTCGGGAAGGGGGGAAGGGAGAGAAAGAGGAGGGGAGAAGTAAACGGTGGCCAACCGAGCCAGAAACACACACGATTTCCCGAAGGATCGCTGACACGCCCCAGATTCGACACCCCGCCTTTCCCCCACCCACGCATACGCACAAACACACACCCACACGCGGAGCACAGCAATGGTGATACCCACACGACTGAAAGGCTTCAACCCCCCGCAGCCAACCACCCAGACAGACAGACAGACAGACAGACACACACACCCCGACCTAGCCACTAGCCACTGATGGTACAAGATAATCGTCGCCGTCCCCTCGATATGTAACAAACACATACACATACATAGGTTGGACAATGAGTAGAAGATTAGAAATAATTTAGAATTAAATTAATATTATTTATAATTAGAAAGTTAGGAGTCCACGTTTAGAACGTATTATTATTAGAACATATTAGAACATACTAACGCCGTACAGCCATAAGAACGGCTCGTTGGTGTGTGGAACCTTTCAATCTTGTATCAATCTTGGCTTAATCTGCACTCAGAATGTCGGATAGCGGTGCGGGTCCATCAAAGCCGCCTCTTCCGGCGACGAAGAAGGCAACGTATATTCCTATATGGCAACAAGGAACTCGACGCGCCAGCCTATGCGGACGCTCTAAAAACCGCGAAGGCTAAGGGATCCGCGACTTGGTGGTCATCCTTCAGCATGGTGCTCCTGGACGGCGTCGCCAAGCTAAAGTGCCTCCTCTGTGGCGAGGAGCTTGGCGCCAAAAATCCATATTATCCGTCACTGCGCCCAGCCAGCCACTTGAGGCGGCATCAACGGGCCGCTTCGAGAGCTGCTGAAAAACGGTTTCCACCCGGCTGGCATTACACCAGTAATGGTGGCGGCGACGAGGAGTCTGAGGAGCCTAACTCTTGAGCCCCCCACCGTTCCGAGGTGAGTCGTCGTAGGCTTGGCGGACAGGTACCCAATGGCCCCAAACCCCCCACAGACCTGAAAATAGTGACAAGCATCTGCAGAGGTGTCCCCGTGGTGAGGTGTGCAAGATTCCAGACCCAACTGAACCCCGCCCCCCCTGAAAAAGTTACCGAGTGCCTTCTAATATTAGTCCTAAGGTCCTAATTAAAATAATAATATTAGTAGATTAGAACGCACGCCATTCTAATGTCTGGAACAACCCTACACATACATATACACACGAACACACCAAGACACGAACACATACACACACAAACATACGCACACACAACCCACACTATTCCCTCACC